TGGGGAGTTTTTCACCCACCATAACTTCTCACCACACAAATACAGTCTTTGGACCAAAGAACGGTCCTGTGCACCCGCTTAACCTGCATGCATTCATGTATCTAACATTTTATTTGATGCAGGCTCATACTGGGGAAGCTGAGATGTTACATGTAAGCCCATTTTGCAGGTCTGTCTGTAATGCTTTCCTGATACCAAGAGGGATATTCCAAAGAACCAGTATGTGTAGGTTGAGTGTGCGCACAGGATCTTTCTTTGGTCCAAAGACTGTTTATTTGTGTGGTAAGAAGTCATGGCGGGTTGAAAAACTCCCCAGCCAAAAGTTTCTTGCTCACATGCCAAATTTTGTGGATAAACCATAAGTCCCTCTCTTGCAGGCTCCCTTGACAAGAGGGACTTTGTTAGGTTAGATGTAGAATAGACAAGTACATATGCAACTGACTCAAAGAATACAAAAAGGTCCACTATGGGATGGCATAAATAAAGTATGTATAACAATTACCGGATGCTACTTTGTATCCTCTATAAGGAGAGGTGAGGTGTGACACAATATATATATGTGTGTTGTATGATATATATTAACAAAAAGAATCCCAAATTGTCATGAGAATACCTTGAATAGATATCTTGAACACTTTGAGGAGATGATATCAAAAAGTGGGGAAATGAACAACAGTTCAGAATCATCCACAGTTATGTGATGATCATTTGAGGGAATTTCCTATGGAATGTGATGGTAAAAAGATGGTTGGAAAAATGGTAAACAGCTTCAGAGAAGCTGCAGCAATCTTTATCTCGTTATGTCGAGCGGGAATGCTGGGCTCAGCGCATGGTAATGCTGGTTTGACATCCGGGTACTTGAGTGATACATTAGGCATGGAGCAATCAAGATCCTTTAGGTTTTTATTCATAAACGGTGCTGAATGTCTCATCGGTTTGTCTTGACAACGTAAGTTAGACCCGAGAATCAGACCACTTGCATGGTTGGACGTCGACAAGGTGTAGGTGGAGGCGGGTCTCCCGTGCCGATCCTGAACAGACGAGATACCACAGTAATCTTCACTGGCACGAGCCTCTTCCTGCCTCTTCATGATAAGTCGATGATCGAGTAAGATCAATAAGCTCTTTGAATGTAAGTCGTTCCGCGAGAGCCGCCCAAGGGTCCAAGTTATCATAAATGTCGGGAATAACGCCAAACACAGGGTACTTTGAATCAACGAGGTCTCTGAACCTCTTATACAAAGTTTGCTGTGGTCCATGATTAGCCTCTCCTAACTAGTTTGTTGAGCAGCAGCCTTGAGGATAGCTGCCATATGCCCGTGGCATCCTTTTAATGATGGTAGTTGACAATGTATCAATTGTCCTACACAAAGTGCTTCTGGAACTTTTCCACGAAGGTTCCAGAACACTTTTCCACAAAGCCAGAAAAGAAAAATTTGGCTGTGTTCTGGCTTCATGGCCTCGTGGAAAAAAAACATATTTGAATGCTCTTTGCCCCTAGGTTCCACAAGACTGTGTGATACAACTCTGTGATTGAACTCTGAATTAAGGCCTCTTCATCTTCCCCTGTCATTCACCCCTTAATCGTTTCACCTCACTTCCTTATCTTATACCTCTGTCCTCCTACACCACGCTATGGCTCGAAAAGGACACCGCAAAAGGCTCAAACACCACATACATCTAGCAATTGATGGAATGAAACAAGCAGGAAGTTCTCGATTAGCTACTCTTGCCTTCAAGAAACATAGAGATGGTGAAAGCCTTTTCATAATTTGATGTCTTCAAGCAATTATCATCAACCACAATCTACATACAAACCAACAAGCAGCGGATCATGAGGAACATCAATTGGACGAGTCTGAGGCAAGGAGGCCATTATTAGTGATTTTGCTTGGGGCCTTAGAGTTTCATTTGGCAAGGGCAGAATCCATCAAGCTTGTACTACTTGGTCGCCGTCTACGAAACCTTGTTGAAAGCGAGATCGGTCAACTTGAAGAAGCCCTCAAGATCTTACAGTCCACTCGCTATGTGCAAGACCGATTACCACGTGGGCGTCAAGGTATCCGAAACGTTGCATTTCCTCACAGAATTTCCGAAGGCGGCGATCCATTCTTAACTATTGTGAGTGTTCAAAAGTGTATTCTAAACCATTCACCAAGCCTCAAAACTAATCACTATGTGACCTTTTCTTTCATGCCGTTTGACAAATAGGCTTGAATGACTCATGACCAATTTTGGAAATTAGTTACTCGGATTCAGGGTAGTCGTGTTTTTCAGAACCAATCGGACAATAAACAGCTTCCTGTAGCGTGGCAGCTGCTGGTGGCCCTAGCAAATTTGGGTACCTCAGGAAATGGGGGGGATGTCTCGCACCTTGCGTACATGTTTCACATATCAGGTTAGTGCCCTTCAGTGCCTCTACTTTCCTTCTATTCACAAAACTAATTACTAATATGTCTCGGTATAGAGGGAAGTGTCCACAATTGGACTAATCGCTGTATGTATGCCATCCTTCAAATGGAAAGCGAGTGGGTCAAGTGGCCAAACATCGAGGAACGCCGTGATCTAAAGATGAAGATACAGGGCAGTCATTTTAAAGACTGTATCGCTTTCATGGATGGCACACTGGTTCCACTTGCTTTTGCACCGGTTCGAAATCCAGAGGATTACTGGACACGAAAACAGTTCTATGCATTTAACGTCATGTTAGTATGTGACGTTAATAAGATCATCAGGTATTACAAACTTGGTTGGTGTGGATCAGCTCACGATCAAAGGGCTTATATGTCCTCAGCTGTAAGCTTCTCCTTTCATGAAGTACAATATCTATGCTGACATTTCTTTCCCAGATTTATCGTAACCCAAGTGATTTCATTTCCGAAGATGAATATCTTTTGGCCGATTCTGGCTATACAACGTCGTGTAGTGTCATCACGCCTTTTAAACGGGCACCTGGTCAACGTCTTCAACATCTCCAAGAAGCCTTCAATCAAGAACTTAGCAAGATACGAGTTATAATTGAACAGAGCATCGGTATGCTCAAAGGTCGATTCCAGTCCTTAAAAGAGCTCCGGATCTTGATCACTGGCCGTCGTAGTGCCCAGCGAGCAAACGTATGGATTCGAGTATGTATAATACTGCACAATTACACAACAACCAACGATGATCGATGGCATTTTGAGTTGGGTACAATCGAAGAAGGGCTCCTCCATACAGCTAGGCAAAGGAGACCGCCCTCGAATGCACCACTTCACGAAGATGATGTGCATCCACAAACTGCACGAAATGACACTCGACGGAGAGCTCTATTTGAACAATTTGTAGCAAACAGGGGAACATAAGGGGTGGTTTCTTTTTTCCTTTTGCTGAATAGACATGTTGTTCCCTTCTTTCGATCCTCATTACATACTGATTTTGTTTGAGTTCATTATACTTTGAAATGAAATACCCAACACACTACATCAAAGGTCAAAAAACTCTTCTATAAGATATCCGATGATCTCCATTCGATCATGTTGAGTATCAGTATCCAATAAGAGTGTCCTATTGTTTTTTCATTAGACACAAGGGACCCGGATGGATCCTGACCGATTCGAATTAGAAACAGTCAGGATCGCTTGTAATTCTAATTCGAGTCGCTAGTATTGATTCTGTGTATTTTAATACACATAATCTTTTTGGAATGCTTGTATATTAGGATCAATCAGTCATATATACCATTTTCAATACTACTAAAACAAAATAGTTGCATCTTGGTTACAAATTTATGTATTTTGTTTGAAAAGACAATCTAACAAAATGAGTATTTTTTGACAAAGATACTATTTTGAATCACCAAACCAAAATTTGTAAAATAAAAATCATCTTGTGTGAAAGGCAGAAGGAAAACATCAATTGCCGTTTCCCCGTTTGAAACGATTACTTGAAGATCTTTGATCTGATTTCTAATCAAAAGTTAACACGATTCTTTGAAAGCGATCGATCGTGTTAAATAACTGTTTTTTAACACAATCGATTGAATTAAGCGATCGATCGAGTTAAAAAACAGTTAACACAATTCATTGAACTGTTTGGTAATACTTTGGTAAATCGTAGATCTTCATCGATGTTATGTTTGATCCTTAATCCAGTGACAATATCTGCAATACAGTTAAGAAAATGAGACTTGTGGGTTTTGAAAAGATTGAAATTGAAGAATAAAACACTGTTGAACGAGATCAATCCTCGATAATTGATTTGTATTAGGATTGGGGTTTCTCAGATTCCTGAAAAGCACAAATTAGAATAAATGTCTTGTACTTATAAGCAGATACATCAAATTCAAAAACCTACAGTATTTGGAAAGACTTCAGCGGCAACTTCCTTCGCCTGCTCCAGAGTCAAGTGGTTTTCGGCCATTATTTGAGCAATGAATTTTCCTCTAGCAATTCTATAATCTATATCCATAGCCTGTTTGGTGCGCTTGAGATCCAACTGAGCTGATTCAACTTTCAAACCATGTAGTTGTGCATCCAACTGAGCCTGTTTGATTTGATCTTCCTTCGATAACAAAAGTCTAGGGTCGTCTTTGGGCTTGAAAATCGTTGCGAGCTCTTTGATTGCATTGCCAAGGCTGTCGGTTTTGAGACTCGATTTGATTACACTATCTTCAAGCTGATTGATGGATGACTTGACTGTTTCAGACTTTTGATCAAGCAACTCCTTCACTTTAGACTCCGCGCTAGCCTTATGACTGTAACGTTTTTTGACTGAAGGCTTTGTTGCCGATTCGGAAACGGAAGGAGGTGCAGTAAGATCAATTGTTGGTTTTGGGGTCTGCTTGGCTGACTCTTTGGGGATCAATTTGAGTGACAGATCTATTAATGATATTATACATAAAAATTCAGTGTGAGAATTGCAAAGAATGGTGTAGATACACGAACCTTCTGAGACATTATCATCAAGAAGACGCCTAAGGTCTTCATTAGAAATTCCAAGATCGTTATCAATTTCTGCTTTGGCCTGGAGACGGTGGTACTCTTGATTCGATGCTTCCGAGTGTTCATTGTCATTTTGGATGTCTAATTGGCTAGGCAAGCTACGTTGTGATTGATCTAAATTGAAATCATCCTCTAATCGTGTTTCATCTACATTTAACCCCAAACCCAAACACTCTAAAGAATCGTTCGGATTGTCCGGGTGGGCACTGTTGACACTCGCTAGCCTAGTTGCCTTGTCTCTTTGACCCATGACAGGCTCTAATTGCCAGTAATATTTGCATCTGGCCTCAATGTAAGCTGTATCGAAGGTTCATCATTGTAGTAAAACATTTAGAACAATGAATAATACTTACCATCAACTAAGACCTTCTTTCTCGCAATGTAAGCTGGATCCTCATCTTCCCACCCGTTCTTCTCCTTCTCAGCTTCGAGATGACCCATTGCACCTTGACCAGTCTGATCAATCCATCTCTTTGCTTCATTGAACTGGGCCTCGAGAGTACTGATCTGAAGATATATTGTCCTATCAGCCGCATTTGCGTTGTAAAACCACTAATTGAAACAAGTGAAGAAAAAGGGAATCACTTGCCTTAGTTGCCACAATCTTTTCGTTACGGCCGTGAATTCCATTTTCAACTAAGTAGGAAGTAATTGACTCTAACGTAGCGGACTTGTAGTTAGTATGTGACTTATACCGAGTCCAATTTTCATATGTTGTAATCCAATTTAAGAGAATGCTGATTGCACTCTCGCCTTTTTCATTCTTCTGATCTTCCCACTTCACCGGTGGCTTTCTAACAGGTCCGTCTTCACCTCCTTTTTGACTTTTCTTTCCTTTCTTTTGCTGCGTTCCACTTGATGGTGATTTTGGGGGCTTGCCGTTTTTTGCTCGATTCTTACGAGATGTTGATGATTGTGACTTAACTCCTCTCGCATTAGACTTATTAGGATTCTTTGATCGAGTTGTGATAGATTCTACTGGTTGTGAGGCCGGTTGAGGCATGGATGTCATTGAATTAATAGAGCCAAAAGAGCCTTGTTGAATGATCGCCGGTGGATATGATGGATGAATTTGTGTTGGGTAGTAGTTTGGCGAAGTTGTGTTTAAAGGAAAGGATGGATAGGACGGAATGGTGGATGGATGAAATTGGTAAGTAATGGGGGTTAAGATTGGCTGTGGTGTTCCGTGTGGGGACGGTGGTGGAGTACTTGAAGGGCAAATATCATCAGACATGTTGAGATGTATCGGAGGTGGATTGGTGGTGGATTTACAAAGTCCA